CGGCCAGTGTCTCCGCAGCGTCGGTGAACTTGTGGCGTGATGGTGACGCCTCTGTTCTCCCCGCAGGTTCCACACAGACACGGGCATACCCCTGAGGACACCCCCAACGCTTTCCACCTGCAGAGCGTGTCCAAGCTGCTGCCTGGTCATCCAGCTGTGTGTAAGGACCCCAGGCTCCCCCAACCCCTTCCTCCACTGCCACCTCTCCCCCTGCCCCCCTCTCTTCCACCCACTGCCCCCTCTCCCCCAGTCCCCCCTCTCCCCCCCACCCCACTCCTGCTGCTGCCTCCCCCCCACCCGCCACCTCCCCAGTCTCGGCAGGTGCATGAGCACCCTTACTGTCCTGGGGTTTTGACCTCTCGTCTCCCCTCTCCGGATCAGTTTCTCTGTGTGTCATTTCTGGCCTCTTTGCCTCGTTTCCTGTGGCTTATTCAGCAGCTACTATGCCAGGCCTCCAGGATGCATGCAGCACCCATGGCCTCTGGGAACTCAGCCTCAAGTGGGTGGTGCAGAGAGGAAATTCACAGCGGCCCAGCCTGGCCTGGACTCTCACCGGGGCTCTCGCAGAGCCCGTTAGGGGCCCTCACTGTGGTGAGACGCCCTGGGGTCTGCTCTGTGCCGGGAATTAGAGCCGTGCCCTCGGGCCCACACGCTGGCGGGTGGCCAGGCAACACCAGTGACCAGCCCAGGAAAAGGACATGCTGACTTCACTGTCAGCGATCTAGAGTCGCTGCCATCACGCTGTAACACTGGGCTCCGTGGTTCACACGGGCGGGTGCTGGGCTGGGAGAAGGTGAGCGGAGAGCAGGGAGCCGTGAGGTGGGCGAGCACAGCTGTTGGATGCGCAAGGCCAGGCCTCCGACCACCTGCAGCAGGAGCCACGGGCGGTGATGCAGGCAGCTCTTCCCCACCTGGGCCGGCCCTTCCTGGCCCCTTTCTGGCCGGCAGTGCTGAGGCCCGGGTGGGGTGGGGGGCGCTGTCCCGCCACTCGCTCCGCCAGCCCTTCACCAGGCACTGGGCTGTCCAGGTCAGTCTTGCTCCTGTGAACTGCACAGGGGGGCGGGGGGCACCCCCAGGCCTCAAGAGAGGCAGCAGCGAGGACCCGGCCCCGCCCTCAGGAAACACGGCAGGAAGCCCGGTAACGGGTGGGCTTTGCATTTGGAAGAGCTCGCTCCCGCTCCCTCGCCCTCCCCTGGTGCACTGATGCCTGA